ACGTAACTAGCACAATCATCATAAAATTTAAGCACACGAAAATTAATCACAAGAGTCAAAAGATGAGCCTCGGTGTCAAAAGAACGCCACACATATTTTCAAGACATGTAATTACAAAGACCATAAATAAAGTACTTAATTCAAATGCTCTAGACCTAAGCACTGATATAAAACAAATCAAAAGCAAAAATACTAAAGTTCTCCCCATTCCATTATCAGTTCAAAAGAAAGAAAAAAAAGATTTTTTTTTTTGTATTTCTTTTTTTGGCTTTAAACCCTCAAGAAAATTGTCTAGGAAGTCCATCGTCGAGAAAAGTCCAAAACATTTTAGAAATTCTACCTGCAAAAAATAATTACTACTCGGTTCAAAGAGTCATCCCTTGGAAAACAACTGTGGCCATAAGAAAAACCAAGATGACTATTTCTACCTAATTATTTTTTATTTTTTATGTTTTTTCAACACATATAAAGTAACACAACTTAAATATCCCAAACAGTCTCTTCACTCCACACTTAAAATTGTGCATTGTCCCCAATGCATACCCATAAATATAAGAGGGTAAAAACAAACTCCCCGATAGGCCAAAGGTCATGGGTTACTCAGACTTCTCCCATACTTGGTTCTTTATGCGGGCACCCCACACTTACTTCTAACCATCTCACTTTCTTTTGCTTTCTTCCAATAACATTACTTCCCATGCTCCTAGAGAACAAAAAAACAACACTTAAAGAATAATACAATAATAAAAAATAAATAATAAATAAAAGAAAGCAGTGAAGTTGGGTTGTCTCCTAACAAGCACTGGATTTAACGTCGCGGCATGACGCGAATCACTTTTTGCCTCTACCTCGATCTTATGAATTGAGTCCCAACTTTTGCTTCTGCTCTATGATCAAGCTCTTGGGGCAATACAAATTGTTGCGAGCCAAAAATTTAAATGATTCTTTATGCACTTTTTGGCTTTCAACCGAGGAGTGTCACTTTGCCTAGACGGCCTTGAAAATTTCAAAATATAGGGCTCATCTACCTCTTCTCTTGACTCTTTTTTATGCTCTTACGGATCAATTCTCATTTCACCATCCGAACACAAGGTAGAGAAGTGATTGGAATGAGCTCTAACATGCTCAAATACCTGAACTTCAAGATTTTCGACATCCTCAACACCAATCACACGAGAGTCAACTAAATTTGTATCCCCAATGTCCTTGGTTGACTCTAATATTACTTCTTCAACATCGACATCCTCAAATTCTAGCCGGTTAGAGTGTTGGTGTTCTACTTTGGACCCCTCCATTGGCACCTCGATTTCCATCTCTAATGCACACTGCTCCTGGCTACTATCCATAATATTAACATGTTGAGAATTAAAATCTTTAACTAGTTGACTCACTTGAGCCTCCAAGTTGCGAATAGTTGCATCTTGCCTTTGTATCCACAGTTGTGTCTCATCATTTGTTTCCACAAGGCACCTTAGCATATCTTTGATCTCTTTCAGGTCTTCATCCCCTGGTTCTTTGTTCATGTTAACCTCACACAAAAGAATTGAACCATCATAGTGAGGGATTGGGGGAGGATAAGAAATATAAACACAACTATGAAAGTAACCATCTTGACCTCCACACATATCACATACATTCCACAGATAAGATTGAGTTTGTGCACATAACTGAGTCTCAGAAATATTTTGATAATTTTGACATGGGTGGTTTCCTCCACAATATGCATAAGGATGATTAAAAGTAGAATTATCAACATCAAAACTATCATAGTTCCAAGATGCCATGTCTCAAAAATCAAAAAATAAAAACAATATAAAATAAAAATTCAAACTTGACACCGCGCAATATTTATAGCTACAGCTACACTGTTATTTCCCCAGTAACGGTGCCAAAATTTGATCATCCCAACTCTATTTCTAAAGAGGATAAGCGGCCGCTGCAAATATAATCCGGTCTAAACGCCCGAAGTCGAATCCCACAGAGAACTAAGTTTTAGCTACAACTGTTCACTATCACTAGGAAGACAAGTTTGAACAATTCCTAAGTTATAAATATAAATAATATTATTTTGAACTAATTAACTAACAAATTAAAGAGTAATTAACAAATAAAGATACTAAGGGTTGTAGACATGATTAAGGAGGTCTAGAGTTATGATTTCCCCAATTGTCGGAATCCTTCCTACCACATCTCTTATAAATTCACCTAAATATTCTCTACCGATCATGAGTACTTTGGGTGTCGTAGTTCTATCTCAAGCAACTACCACAATTTACTAGATCTATTCTCTCAAACTACACTAGCTTGCACTAATTCACCGCTTACTACGATCGCACCAAGGTTTCGTTATCTCTAATCCCGCTTTTAAACCTTCTGTATTGATCTCTCACATATGTTATAAGTGATGTTGTTCAACAACTACCTAAATGTGTACTCTCTCTCTCTCTATCTCTCTCTCAAGCAATACACACTAAATAGGCGCAGTTAATTTATAGCCATTCAATCAACATCAATAAACAAGTAGTTTAACCAGTAGAGAAATCCAACGGCTTAATTATATATTAACATAACAAGAATTTATCCTACAAATGGTTCCATCAAAACCCTATATAACAAATTAGCTATTCATAAGAGTATGCAAACTACATACTAGAATTCATAACCAACAATGAAAATAGGAAGAAGAAAGTGAAAAACTTAGAAGAATTCTCTGCCTTGCTCATAGCGCGTTCTTGCCTCCCGAAAGTCTTCTCTCCCTCCAAAGTAGTGTCTCCCTTTCAAAAGCACATTCTAAGATGTATTTATAGCGACTAGAGTTTGTATGGGGCAAATTTTCCTTCTTCTATTTTGTATTGGAAAAGTTGGTTTCTTATGATTCGGTCCCGGTCTAGCGAAGAGAACCTCACTTCACTGTCCGAGACTTTTCTGGTTTCTTCTACTTCGGTCCCGGTCTAGCGTAGTGAACCTCGCTTCACTGTCCGGAACATTTCTCTTCAGCTCTTTTTTCTCCTATTTGATCCTTTTTCGCATAAATTTGTTCCTACATATAAGAAACATGTAATGAGCATATTTTTATTTCAAAAGCGGTGTAAACTCTCGCAACTCACACAAGAAATAATATATAAACACACTCAAAACATATATTTTTCATCCTTTATCATCCACACATTCAAGTATAACTTTGAACATAAATTAAGGATATCACACAATTGAACAAAATGTGCTCCCTCTCATAATGAAATTCATGTGCATCCCATGGTCGTACCATAAGCTTGCCCGTAGTGTATATCTCTACTAATTTAAGCTAGCCAAATCTAGGATCAATTAAGACTTTATGGGTTGTAATGTAGGCTAAAGGACGGGTAGGATACTTTTAGGAATGGTTATTACCTCTCCAAAGCAGTTTAATACACTACACTCAAGAATCGAGTACATATTCTTCTCAATCAATTCACTAACCACAAACCATACACAATATAGCCCTTTCTTCAATTAAGCACTTCTATGCTCCCACTATCACGAATTAGTAAGATTAGGAGGTGTGTTTGTTTTTGTTGGCTATCAACATTATTTGTATGTTTTTGCATTTTTCTTTTCTCTTTTTTTCTTTTTCTTTTTTTTCTTCTTTTCTACACATACTCCATACATTAAGATTCATCGATTAGTAGCCTTTTTCACAACTTTAGTGCACCTTATGGGCCCTTCCATGGTTCTACTCGAAAGCTACTTCCCAATCTCTAACCTTACTTCTTTTAGCGACTAAGTGCCTTCAGAGGTAGAGGTTGAACAAGCTTAAATTAAGAACAAAATAGGGATACAGCTTGTAATGTGGGTGCCAAGGAAAAGGTCTATAGGCTCAAAGGGCTTGCAACAAGAAAATTTTATTTGTAAGTGACAAGCACATCTATGATCAAGCAAAGAACTGCCTATGTCATCTCCTAGAATAGCACAACTTAATGATTTCGTTTCGATTAACACACGGGGCAAGTTCTAGACTACACCAGATAGTACAGAATAACACAAATCATTGCACACAAATTGCACATGACTCAATCAAGACAGTTATGTTCTACTCTCAAGTCAAGAAAGCACATACATCTGAGAATTTTTAAGCAATATTGCACTAAGTGACTTACAAGTCAATCAACTAAGAACATGAGTCACAAAGTAGTCTATTTATATTACTTAGGCATCACATTTTAAATCAAATATAACAGGAAGACAGAGGGCACGCCATAGCCTAATGTGCCAACACTAAACATGTCAACATGTATCTTAGAGCAACTATGATTTCATCCTATCCTACTCTTAAAAAGTTAAAAGAAAAATACCCGGTTTATGCCACTCCATTGAAAACGAACTGGCGCCCAAATAAAAACCAAGGGATACTACCTAACTATCAAAAAACAACATAAAATCTTTTTTGTCATTTTAATCGGACTTTAGTCCCTCAAGAAAGTTGTCCATGAGATCCATCGTCGGAAAAAGTCCGAGAGTTTTCTGATTTTTATTTTTTTTTTGTATTTTCGTTTTTTCCAATAATTGTCTATTACTACTAAACTAAAAGAAAAATAATGACAATGTTTATAGAATTACACTACCCAAAAAATAATTCTTCCACCCCACACTTATATCATGCACAGTCCTCGATGCGTGGATCAAAAAGAAAAATGTTAAAACAAAGGTGAGAAATACTCCCCGATACACTCTAGGGCCTAGCTAGAAACATGATCCTCAATATTAAGGGTCGGGACGACCCCACACTTAAGCTCAAACATGCTCCTCGACTTCAACTTCGGGCACTCATACATCCCCTAATCTGCAAAACAAAAACAACAAAACACAACAAAAAATAAAATAATAAAAAACAAATAAAATACATGTTGGGTTGCCTCCTAACAAGCGCCTTATTTATAGTCGTGGCACAATTCTACTACTCTGCTCAGGCTGGGCACTTTCGCTATCTCCTCTTTCCTCTCTGACCCTTTTTTCTTTTACCTTTAGAAATTCAGCTCGCAACACACTTCTTCTAACTCGATTTTCTTTTCCATGCTACTAGGCTCCATATTAAGACCTTGCTCTATCAACTTCAATTCTAGCATAGAGATCATGCACAAAACCTCATAATTCCTAGGAAGGTTAAATGCCTTGTACACATTAAATGTGATTTCTTCATCATGCACTCTTATCTTTAGCTTGACCTCCCTCACATCAATAAGTGCCCCTCCAGTAGCCATGAATGGTTGCCCCAAAATAATTGGAACCTCCTCATCAGCCAGGTAGCCAAGAATAATGAAATCTGCGAGAAAGATAAACTTCACTATGCGCACCAGCACATCTTTAATAATTCCTTCAGGCACTACTAATGAACGATCTACTAGTTGTAGAGTTATAGTAGTAGGCCTGGGGACTCCAAGATTGAGCTGCTTGAACATTGATAGTGGCATCAAATTAATGCTCGATCCTAGATCGCACAAGGCTCTACCAACCTCGTGTTTTCCAATCTCCAAGACAATATTAAAACAACCTGGATCCTTCAACTTAGGTGGGAGCTTACTTTGTACTCTAGCACTGCACTCTTCAGTAAGTGCAACCGTTTAAAACTGTGTCAACCTTCTTTTATTGGCCACAATGTCTCTCAGGTACTTGGCATATTTAGGAACTTCTTGCAACACTTCTACTAAAGGTATATTCATTACACACCTGGCTCAAGATATCTAAGAACGTTTTGTACTTGGAATCATCTTTTAATTTTTGCAACCTTTCTGGTAAGGGCGGCGATGGCCTTACCTCTATCTCTTGCATGTGTTCCTCACCTTTATTTTCAGCTCCTACCTCAGGTTGAAATGCCAATATTTCATAAACTTCTTTAGGCACACGCATTTTAGGTGGCACATCATCCAATGCTCTACCACTTCGTAGATTAATTGCTTGCACCTGTTCAATGGGATTTTTGCCAGTGTCACTTGGGAGTGCTCCAGTAGGTCGAGTATTTTATTGTGCAGCTAACTGCCCAATCTGCCTTTCTTATTTGCAAAAATTAGTCCTTAGTTGCTGGTTGTCTGTTCGAAGTTGCTGGTTGTCAATTAACAACTTTTTCAACATAATAGTGGTGCTTTCTTCTACCAGTTGTGGTGGGCTTTGGGGATGATTATAGTTTCCTTAGGGTCTGTATTTATTTTGAGTGGCCTGGTTTCCACCTCATAAAATATTCAGGTGATTCCTCCAGTTGGGATTATAGGTGTTCCCATATTATGCATTCTGGTTCATTGGACCTCTACTCCGTTGACCCACATAATAAATAGATTCCGGATTTACCGGACATTGATCACTCGTGTGACCTTATCCACAAATTTCACAACATATGTCCATCCTTTGAACCTGATGCATCTAATGCCTTTGACCCATTGCCAACTTAGCCACGTGGTTAGTTAGATTATAAATTTTTGCTCGCATGGCTGGCATGTCATCCCATTCAAATGCACGTGCTTCTTTCTATTTTATCATCCTTCTTTGTTCACCCTCACCTTGCCAGTTATGATCGTTTGCAGTGAAATCGTTGAGTAGATTCTAGATCTTACTATATGGCTTTTGCATGTAACTTCCTACATAAGCTGAGTCTAGAATCAATTTGGAGGTCTCATCCAACCCATCCACAAAAGTATGTCCCAATACCTCACCAGTCTAATAATGATGTGGGCAGTCTTTGAGTAGTTTCTTGTATCTTTCCCAATGTTGATGAAGAGTATCGCCATCTCGTTGTTAAAACCCAAAAATCTGGTTCCTCGATGACCTTGTCTTCTTTGTCGGAAAAAATGTGATCAAGAATTTTCGCACTAGATCATCCCAAGTATGAATTGAGTTTGCAGGCTCTTTGTTTAACCATTCTTTAGCTTCCCCCATCAGTGAAAAGGGAAATAATGTTAGTCTTACGTAGTCCTTGGAAACATTTGGATAATTATAAGTGTAAGGCGCCGTAAAATTTTACCTAAACCTCGGGGTTTCTTGGTGTCGAAGTAGACTTATGTGTTGATGAGATTTTTTGGGTTGAACAGTGCGTTGGGGTGTTGAAGAAAATTTTTGGAAGTACAGGGCATTTCTGCGGTCCACTCTATGGTCGTAGAACTTATATGTGGACCGCAGATCTGCCGCAGACTGAGGTAGAAATCCAGGCAAATTTTCGGACCATTATGCAGTCCATTATGGTAGGAGATGTAGATCTCCCATTGGGTGGTTCGAGATTGTGAAAGTAGAATTTATAGGACCGGACCTCGTGCATCAGGCTTTGGAGAATGTTAAGATTGTTACAAAATGATTGAAAACTGCTCAGAGTGGTCAAAAGTCCTATTTGGATGTGCGTCAAAGGGATTTGGAGTTCAAAGAAGATGATTAGGTATTTTTGAAGGTTTCCCCTATGAAGGGTGTAATGCGGTTTGGTAAGAAAGGAAAATCGAGTCTGAGGTATGTCGGACCGTACAGAATCATTCAGAGGATTGGTCTGGTGGCTAACAGGCCATAACTACCTCCAGAGATATATTTAGTGCACCCGGTGTTCCATGTATCTATGTTGAAGAAGGTGGTTGGAGATCCGTCGCTTATTGTTCCGGTTGAGACTATTGAGGTTAAGGAAGAATTGACTTATGAAGAAATTCCAGTTGCCATTCTTGATAGGCAAGTTCGAAAGGTGAGGAACAAAGAGATTGCTTCCGTGAAAGTACTATAGCGGAACCAGTAGGTTGAAGAGGCCACCTGGGAGGCCGAGGAAGAAATGAAGAAGAAATACCCTCATTTGTTTGAATAGTCATGTATTTATAAAGTTGTGACCTATGAAAGTGTTAAGAGTTTACCTTTTATGAATTATGTATCATTTCTACAGTTGATGTTAAGGGTGTTCCTTTTTGTGATATACTTCTTGTGAGGCCACGGTTGACGTTGTTTTCATGTTATATTACGCCATTGGTTCATGTACATATTGTTAGGATAGGTTTCTGGGATTCTCTGACAGGTTGATAGGCCCAGTTACAGGGGAAACTCTGGCAAATATTTTGGAAATTTGGGGAGTTAGTCGAAAATTAAAACTGTTGGTGTGTGTTATGGAACTTGAGTCACATTGGGTACTAATGGTGAATTTTGACCCTCATTCGAGGATGAATGATCTTAATCAGGAGAGGATGAAAGGCCCCGTAAAATTTTACCAAAAACTCGAGGTTTCGTGGTGCCGAAGTAGACTTATGTGTTGACGAGTGTAGGGATTCTTTACGGCAAGCTTGCTTGCCGCAATTTGGACATTTTGTGTTGAGCAGTGCATATGGGTGTGGAAGAAATGTTTTGGAAGTGCAGGGTGTTTCTGCGGTTCACACTGCGGTTGTAGAACTGATCTGCCACAGACTGAGGCAGAAATCTGGGAAGATTTCCGGACCATTATGCGGCCGCATAATTATTTTGCGGGCCTCATAACCCATCGTAGACCCAGCTCAAAAATGTCCAGAGGGAGGTTCTGTGATACATTATGTGACCGCAGAATAGGTCTACGGACCATAGACCGATCGCAGAATGAGGTAGAAGTGCCCAATTATGGAGGACCATTATACGGCCCATTTTGCGGACCGCAGAAGCATTATGCGATCGCAGATCTATGTCAGGGCTTCATTTTTTCTAATTTAATAAGCCGACCCCATGTCGGGGGTCATTTTTGAGGGTTTATCAGATATTTTAGAGTGAAGAGAGAGCTACCCTAGAGAGAGAAAGGGGAGGATTCAAGGATTTCACTACAACTTGGATCAAGCCTTGGAATTTCATCAAGAGGAACTTGCTATAGTTTCTAAAAGGTAAGAATTTCTTCCCCCTATTCTCCAATTTCGAATTTGGGTAGAAGGTGGGTAAAGGGGGAGTATGATTCTTGGGTGTAACAGTATTAATTATACATGCATGTACCAATAAGGTTTGTGGGAAGATTGTTGAGCTCAAATGGATAAAGATTGGGTTATGGAGTGAAGGAAATCTTGTGAAAGAACCTTGAAATAAAATTTGCATATCTAGAGTTTGATAAAATGCTCAAATGAGCTGAAACCATGATTATCTTCCTAATTTGTCTTTAATTTTGCAATATCTCTAAATAGATCAAAGTTGCTAGGATTTCGGAACTATGTAGTGAATTAAGGAAAGCGCAAATCGAGCTATGAAGTCTAAACTCTTCTTCTAGTATCTGAATTCCCAAATCCTTTTAAAATTCTATCATGTGTAGTCGAACTTGAAACGCTATTGATGTGAGGTATTCAAACTAGTAAAATTGATTCCCGATTGGCATAACGTGTTAGAATCCTCGTGTATTAAAGATTATCTATTATTGACTTAATTATGTTATACCCCCTTTTGGGAGGAGATCTTATATGAAATCAATGTGATTAAAAACTTATTTCTAATATGATGAGACCATAAGAACTTACAGTTGCTAAGGCCAAAGGTGCCAAATGGTTGATTTAAAAAGGGAACTATCTTGTACAAACTATTATCGTTTTCGGAATCCGAAGTGTGGTATTGTGTATATACCTCCACCCGCATACATTGGGGTGATGCGTCGGGGCCGCTTTTTGTAGAGTTGTGGTATTGTGAATACACCTCCACCCGCATACATCGGGGTGAGGCGGCATGGCCGCTTTGTGTAATGTTTGTGGCATGGTGGATGCACCTCTACCCGCATACATTGGGGTGAGGCGGCAAGTTCACTTTGTGTAGAGTTTCTGGTACAGTCATTGTACCTCGACCCGCATACGTTGGGGTGAGGCGGCAAGGCCACTTTGTATAAATATTATTGAAAGCTCTTAATAAATTTGATATGTCTTTAACGACCAACTAAGCCTTTTATTGTTACCATGATTCATCATATCCATGTTGTAATTCCAAGTCCCTGCATATGTTTTGTTTTCATACTAGTACTATTCGACATGTACTAATGTCCCTTTTGCCGGGGTGCGCTGGATCTTTAATAGATGCAGGTGGTTCCATAGCAAGTGGTATTGATCAGTGATAGCAACAAACCATCTCCTCAGCTGACTTGGTGAGCCCCACTTCATTCCGGGGTCCCGTATCTCTTGTTCCTTGTACATAGTGTTTTTCAGGTATGTCGGTGTAACACCTTGGAAAATGTCGAAGTACTTAAATGTAAATCCCCGTAAAATTTTGCAAAGGAAAATAAAAATAATGTTTCATGGTGCCGAATTGGTTTTACGTGCTGAATAATAGCTCGGACTTTTTGGGTTGAACAATGCACCAAAAAGTAAAGGAAAAGTTTTGGCAGAAAAATGTAATTCTACGGTCTATTATGCGACCGCAGAATCATTCTGCGGGCCGCATAATGGCCGCAGAAGTGAGCAAGAAACGGGCCATTCTAGTAGCAGCTATGTAGTCGACTATACGACCGCATAACTATTATGCGGTGCATTATGCGATTGCATAACAGTTATGCGGACTGCATAGTGACCGCATACACAGACATATTTTTGATCAGTTTTGTCAGCAATTATGCGACCATTATGCGGTCGCATATGCGACCGCAGACCCGTTCCGGAGCTCCATTTTTGGGTTTTTAAAACTCGACCCTATTTCGTTAAATACACTCTTTGGGTCATTTTTGAACTATAATCTGACATTTTAGAGAGAGAGTGCCCTAGAGTGAGAAGGTGTTCTTCAATTATTGTTCCTCAATTCCTGCTCAAGTTTTGGAACATTAAGAAGGGAAGCTCACTAGGTCTTCATCCTAGAGGTAAGATTCTACACCCTAAACCCTAATTTTGAAATTTTCTGAAAATGCGTAATTAGCAAGATAATTTTTGGGCATGAGAGTTGTTTATTTTATAGTAGGAAGATTTTTGAAACCTTAATGCACACATAGTGTTTGATAAAATGCTCAAATGAGCTAGAACCATAATCATCTTCCAAATTTTGGATCAATTTGTTATATTTCTAAAATAGATTGAAGTTGCTAAGAATTCTTTAACGTTTTAGAGTTTAAGGAAGCTCAATTGAGGTGTGTTGGCTAAACTCTTCTCTTAGAATTGAATCACGCGATATTCATGAAAAATATGTAAGTCCCGAGTGGTTTATTATAAAATTGGCTATTCCGAGTAAGAATGGGTTGAACGATATATATATTCGACAAGTATCTCAAATTCTTTATTCATGTTATTTTATCAATTGAGGATGTGTCAAAACATAGGTTGTGCATTAATAATGTTTCGACTTCAAGTCAAGTTCAAACGAACGCTATTATGCCAAATTTTGTGAAATATCTCTATGTGCCTTAGACTCTAAATTGCTAACATGTGTACTACACACCTTGATTTGAATTGTATTTGTTGTTGATGATGATGATGATATTTGAAATTGAAAAGGTGAGCAGGAAATACTGAATATGGCCAACATGCCAAGATTTATATTATAATTATGGTCATTAGTGCGAATGAAATGAAAAGATGTGAAAGTAATATGAAATGCGATGATTGATATAAAAAGGTTGATGTCTCAAATAAGACAACCTAGCCGGTCGGGTCGTGATCGGACACCAGTCCGTACACATGGTGGTGATTGTGGTGGAAATTATAATTGAAATTATGATTATGGTCGATGTCCCAAATGGATAGCCTAGCCGATCGGGTCGCTATCGGACTTCGTGTTAAAGACAATGGTATTGATATTGAGAGTAATTGTGGTTGATGTATCTAATGAGATAGCCTAGCCGATCGGGTCGTGATCGGACTCCGTGCTAAGAGTACGGTGGTACTGGTTTTGTGAATAATGATATTGTGAATAATGGTATTGTGGACAATGGTATATCGATACTAAAAATCTCCCAAAGTGAGATATGGAAATTAATTTGAACATTGTCTTGATCCTAAATTGAGTTTTGATGTTGATTAAGGCTTTCATTAATATTATAATAATCTTATTTGTATTATTTGTCATTCTATTAAGAGGGTGTTTAGTTATACATACTAGTGCTATTCGACAGTACTAACGTCTCCTTTGCCGGGGGCGCTGCATCTTTAAATGGATGCAGGTGGTTCCACAGGAGGAGATATTGATCAGTGATAGCAGTACACCTTCCTCCCAGCTGACTTGGTGAGCCCCACTTCATTCCGGGGTCATGTATCTTTTGTTCTTTGTGTATTCTGTTTGAGGTATAACCGGGGCCTTGTTGCCGGCATTATCATTGTACTCTTCTTTATCTATAGAGGCTCCGTAGACATAGTGTGGGTTATGTATTGGTGCCGGGGTATGTCGGTTAAGCGTCGGTCGCACTCCCTGAGGTCGGGGCATGACAAACTTGGTATCAGAGCCTATGGTTTTAAAGTGTCCTAAGATGTCTCGGAGCTTTGTCCAGTAGAGTCCTTCTTATCTGTGTGTTGTCGACCACATCTATGATTAGGAGGCTACTTGGGCATTTAGGAATAATACCCTTTCTTTATGTTCTCGATCGTGCGATAAAGCTGATTGTAAGATTGTTCCTCCTTTAACTCGTGCTTTGCTCTAACTTTCAATACATGGTGCCTAGGAAGAATGTATGAACTGGCCAAGGAGCCAATGTCACCCCAGGAGTGGTAGTTGATTCTATATTTTATGATGTGGGTGAGTGATGTGCCGTAGAATTTCGGCACATTTGATACCAATTACATAGAATTTAGTTCATCTTTGAATGCATTTTTAGTTAATTCTTATGAAGTTTTGGTGTTTTGCAGTACATGAGGCTTGAGGACCCAAAAACATGGAAAAGAAGTCAAAAAGCCACAAAAGGGCAGAAATGATGCAAGTATGCGGTCGCATAAAGCATACGCGGACCGCATACCCATCGCAGACTGAAGCAGATTGTTGGTTAACTGAAGAGAAAAAGATGCGACCCATTATGCGGTCGCATAACTATTATGCGGACCACATAAGGATCGCATAACTGAAATCAAGAAAGCTAAGAAGCACTTATGCGGAGGAATATGTGGTCGCATAATGTATATGTGGACCGCATAATTGGAATGCGGTCAAGAGCAGGGTTGGATACATGAGATTATGCGATAATTTCGAATAATATGTGGACCGCATACGTGATCTGTGACCACTATGCGGACGCATAAACTATCTGCAGGGTTACTTTTGTCCAATTTTTGCTTCGACCTTTAGGACACTATAAATAGATTTATTAGGGTTTTTGTGGGGCAGCTAAGTTAGAAAAAGACATTACTTTTAGAGCATTGAATGCACCATTGTTCTGGAGATTTTTGAAGGAAGAATCTTGCATCTTTGTAAGCTTTATGACTCTATTTATCGCTTTGTTCTTAGATTTCAGTATGAGTAGCTAGTTTTAGTTACTAAGGCTGTGGACCCTAGATGGGTGTAATGTTAATGGGTGTTTACCATTGAATATATACATAATGGTTGGTTGATATTTATTCAGTTCTTATGCTTCATCTGATGTTAGTGGTTGCAAACATTAACTAATTCCATTTCACTCTATCTTTACTTGGAAAAGTGGGCTAGGGTTTGGTAGAATTGAATACCAAAAGCTCAAGGCTTTAACCCTTGTTTAATGGAATCGCCTAGGAATAAGTGGGTTCTATTTGGCATAAATTGGTTATTTTCAATCGCAACTCTTTTACATTTGGGAAAATCTTGAAGAGTAGATATTACTAAACTATTGGGAAATAGTGGGTAGTCACTTAGAAACCATTTGCATATCAAAGGACTTTCCATTAGAAATATATCATATTAACACCGATAGCATTACATTACATCAATGGGGACACAACCTTGGTTTCCTTAATCAAATTAATTACAAACTCACAATTTTCTACTTGTCTTCATTTCACTCAATTGCAACATTCTTTTTAATTAACGGAATAGAATTACAAATTAAGTCAAGTTTCACACTACACAAGTAACCTTTTCACACCTATTCCCTGTGGGATTCGACCCCAACCTAGTTGGGTTATTATATTTGACATCGACCGATTTACACTAATTATTAAGGTGTAATTTGAGCGTATCAAATTTTGGCGCCGTTGCCGGGGAATACGATTTTGAAATTACGATTTTGTGTGTGCGTTACTTCACGTTTTATTCCATCACACTTTGCTTGCTTTGTTTGGTGTGCTAGATAAACATGGCAGAGTATGATGAAGAAGAAAATCCTTTTGCGGATATAGATGAGTACATCGAGGACACAAATGCCATTGTCCCTCCGCGAGTTGACGCTGCTACCTTCAAAGTGGAACATGGTTTGATCCTAATGCTTAAAGCAGAGTGATTTTTTAGGCATTCTACCGATGATGATCCAACACAACATCTTAGAAACTTCTTGGGTGTGTGTGCGATGCACAAACAGAACAACATGTCAGATGATGCCCTAAGACTGAGGGTATTCAAATACTCACTAGTTGGAGAGGAAAGGAAATGGATCCAAAATCTACCACCTCACTCCATTCATTCTTGGCATGAACTAGTTCGTGCTTTCCTAGCCAAATGGTTCCCATAAAGCAAGAAATCCGAGCTCAGGGATAAAATTTTCTTTTTCAAGCAACTACCAGGAGAACACCTACATGAGGCATGGGATCGCTTCAAGCTATACCTAGTGAGGTCGCCTAATCATGGTTTTCCGGACAAAATCTTGTTAGAAACATTTTACATGGGTTTGGATCCGTTGAACCAATCCATAGCAAAGAATGCTGCGGATGGATCTTTTATGCATAAAACATACACAAGGATCACACAAATTCTCGACAAGATGGCAGAACACAATCAAGCTTGGCACTCAAAAGATACCACGGGTGGAATTGCATACTGTACTCCCTCTTTGACCAACATTATTAAGAAGAATCAAGAGAGAGATCAAGTAATTGCCGGTCTTGCCACAAACATTAATGTGTTAACCAAGATGTTCGCTGAAAACCAAACTAAAAAGGTAAATGTTGTGGAAGATGTGCAACCCTGGTCAACCGAAGATTGTGAGGAGGCGAATTATGTCCATAATTCTAAAGGTGGTTATCGCCAACAAAATCAACGGAGGCCTAACCCGCAAGGGAAAGGCCATCAATAGTGGCGCTATGATCAAGGTGGAGCAAGTCAAGGTAATTGGAGCAATAACAACAACAACTATGCAAATCGGAGTTCAAGCCCCTATGTTCCACCAAAGGGGCAATACTCTAACACCTCACATTATAAGGAAGGTTCTTCAAGTGAGTCCAAGTAGGAGAGCATGCTTGAAAGAATGTTGTAAAATCAAGAAAAAGGCGACACTACAATGAACAACATGTCCGAACTTGTGGGGTCACACACCGCATCCATACAAAAGCTAGAAAGGCAAATGAGAGATTTGTCAAGAGAGCATAATCCAAAGCCGAAGGCCACACTCCCAAGTGACACAATTGCAAACCCTAAAGGAAATGGGAGTGGTCCAACTTCTCACTGCATGGCAATCACCACGCGAAGCGGGAAGGTACTTCAAGGATAAAACAAACAAATTATTGGAGTAGATGATCTTGAGCAAGATATTGAAGCACAAGTTGAAGTGATGATTGTTATTGAAGTTGAAAATCTCCCAAAAGGAGTAAAAGTCCAACAAAAAAATCATGAAAAGGTAAAGATGAAAGAGGCACCAAAAGCTCTAGCACAAATTCCTAGACCTTCCCCCATGTTCCCTCAAAGACTTGCTAGGAGGGTTGATGATAGCAAATTCGAGAAATTTTATGACATTCTGAAGCAATTGTCGGTGAACATACCATTTGTGGAAGCCTTTCAAGAGATGTTGGGTTTTGCTAAATACTTAAAGGAATTGATAACCAAGAAAAGAACCACCAAGAATGAATTAGTTAATGTTACTCACCGGGTTAGCATTATTGCAACAACCACCGTTGAAAAGAAAGAAGACCCGGGAGCATTCACCATTCCATGCACTATTTGCTTGCGAGATTTTGCAAGGGCTCTTTGTGACAATGGGGCTAGCATTAACTTGATGCCTCTTGCCATTTACAAGCAAGCGGGGTTAAGCATGCCAAGACCTACAAGCATGAGATTGCAAATGGCTGATCGTTCAATCAAAAGACCAGTGGGAATTATTGATGATGTCTTAGTAAAAGTGGGAAAGTTCCTCCTTCCGGCCGATTTTGTGATCCTTGACTGTGCCGTTGACAAAGAAATCCCTATCATCTTGGGGAGGCCATTCCTTGCTACCGGAAGAGCACTTATGGATTTGGAATGAAATGAAATCAACTTCCGAGTTAATGATGAAGTGGTCACCTTCCAAGCAAGTAAGGGTGTGAAGTTGCCACATGCATATGAAGGCATCTCAGTCATTGATGTTGTTGATGAGTTAGAGGACGCAAGTGAAATGAAGATGGAAGAAGAATGCCTAGATGAGGCTTTGGCGGCGATATTGGTAAATTTCGATGGTGAAAATATGGAGGGGTACATGGAATCGATGAATGCATTAGAAGGACGTGGGTCTTACACTTACGCACCAAAGAAGCTTTCTCTTGACTTAGAGAATAGAGCCACTCCCCCAGCAAAGCCTTCAATTATTGAGCCGCCACAACTTGAACTCAAGCCACTTCTACCACACTTAAGGTATAAATTTCTTGGCTCTAATGATACTTTACCGGTAATAGTTTCTTCCTTGTTGAATGAGGTGCAGGTAGATCATTTATTGAATTTCCTACGGGAACATCAACAAGACATTGGGGGACAATAGCGGACATCCGAGGGATTCTCGTCGGAATCTGTGAGCACAAAATACAATTGGAGCAAGGAAGCAAACCTAGTGTGGAGCACCAAAGAAGATTAAACTCGTCCATGTAGGAGGTGGTGAAGAAGGAAATCATCAAGTGGTTAGACGCCGGGGTAGTCTATCCCATTGCCCATAGTTCTTGGCTGAGCCCGGTGCAATGTGTGCCAAAGAAAGGAGGCATGACCGTTATCCAAAATGAGAAAAATGAGATCATCCCAACAAGGACTGTGACCGGATGGAGAGTTTGCATGGACTACCGGAAGCTCAACAGTGCCACTTGCAAAGGCCATTTCCCTATGCCTTTTAAATGCTTGATCGGCTAGCGAGAATGTCATTTTATTGCTTTTTTGATGGATACTCCGGCTATAACCAAATCAACATTGCATTGGAAGATCAGGAGAAGACAACATTCACATGCCCATATGGGACTTTTGCTTTTAGCCGGATGCCATTTGGGATATGCAACGCTCCGACTACCTTCCAACGGTGCATGATGTCAATTTTCTCGGACATGGTGGAAGATTTCCTAGAAGTGTTTATGGATGACTTCTCTGTAGTGGTGACTCCTTTGAGCATTGTCTTGACAACCTTAGACAAGTGCTCAAAAGATGTGAAGAAACAAACCTTGTACTAAATTGGGAAAAGTGTCACTTCATGGTGGATGAGGGCATTGTTTTGGGACACAAAATTTCCAAACAAGGCATAGAGGTAGACCGCGCAAAGAGTGAAATCATTTCTAAGCTTCCTCCACCCATTTCAGTAAAGGGTGTTCGAAGTTTTTTGGGACACGCCGGCTTCTATAGGCATTTTATTAAGGACTTCTAAAAAATTGCAAACCCCATGTGCAAGCTCCTTGAAAAAGATGCTACGTTCGTATTTGATGAAAAGTGTCTCAAAGCATTTGAGGAGTTGAAAGAAAAGCTCACCACAACACCTATTATTGTCACACCGGATTGGTCTCTTCCATTTGAACTCATGTGTGACGCCAGTACTGTAGCCATTGGGGCGGTGCTTGGTCAACGGCATATCAAAATCCTTCATCCTGTCTACTATGAAAGCATGACTCTCAGTAGTGCTTAGATGAATTATACTGTGACCGAGCAAGAATTTCTTGCCATTGTCTATGCTTTTGAAAAATTTCAGATGAATTATACTGTGACCGAGCAAGAATTTCTTGCCATTGTCTATGCTTTTGAAAAATTTCAGATGAATTATACTGTGACCGAGCAAGAATTTCTTGCCATTGTCTATGCTTTTGAAAAATTTCAGATGAATTATACTGTGACCGAGCAAGAATTTCTTGCCATTGTCTATGCTTTTGAAAAATTTCGGGCATATTTGTTAGGATCCAAGGTGATAGTCTACACTGATCATGCTGTTCTTCGCTATCTTATGGAGAAGAAGGATGCCAAGCCCAGATTGATTCGATGGGTCCTTTTGTTGCAAGAGTTTGACTTTGAAGTCAAGGATCGAAGAGGGACAAAAAACCAAGCTGCGGATCACTTATCTACGCTTGAAGAAGCAGGGAGGCCAAAAGAGGACTTTGACATCAATGATGCCTTTCCAGATGAGCACATATTGGCATTGTCTGACACATTTGCCCCTTGGTATGCCGATATTGCTAACTATCTGGTTAGCGACCTTATCCCCGATGGATTGGAAACATATCAAAAGAAAAAGTTCTTGTGGGAGTGTAGGCAATACTATTGGGAAGAGCCCTTCTTGTTTCGTATTTGTGCCGGGAAGATGAAGTAATGCCAATTCTCAAAGCATTCCATGACTCCCCGGTTGGGGGTCATCATGGAGGAAATCGGACAGCCGCGAAAGTGCTTAAATGTGGCTATTATTGGCGATCTATCTACCATGACGCGAATCAAATGGTCAAGGCTTGTGATCAATGTCAAAGGCAAGGATAAATCTCTAAAAGGCATGAGATGCCTATGAAGTTTGTAATGGAGGTCGAGATCTTTGATGTGTGGGGGATTGATTTCATGGGTCCCTTTGTGAGTTCTTATGGCATGAAATATATCTTGGTGGGAGTGGACTATGTATCCAAGTGGGTTGAGGCAATCGCCTTACCCAACAATGAGGCAAGGAGTGTGACCGCATTCTAAAGGAAGAACACTTTCATGCGGTTTGGTACTCCCCGAGCCATCCTTAGTGATTGTGGTTCTCATTTCTGCAACAAGGCTTTCACTGGGCTGCTCGAAAAGTGTGGCATAAAGCACAAGATGGCCACGCCTTATCATCCTCAGTCGAGTGGTCAAGTTGAAGTTTCCAACAGGGAGATTAAAAACATCCTAACAAAAATTGTCAATGCAAACAGGACCGACTGGTCAAGGAAGCTAGAGGATGCATTGTGGGCATATCACACTGCATTTAAGACTCCCATTGGCACCTCATCGTATCGGTTAATCTTTCATACGGCGTGTAATTTGACCGTGGAGCTTGAACACAAAGCCATGTAGGCTATGAAAAGGTTAAATCTTGGCTGGGTTGAAGCTGCTAATTTGAGAGTGACACAACTCAACAAAATGGAAGAATTCCGTCTCCATGCCTATGAGAGTGCAGCCATGTATAAAGAACGAATGAAGTTTGTTCATGACAAGAAGATCTTGAAACGGGAATTCAAATCTGGTGACTAGGTCTTGCTCTTCAACTCGAGACTCAAGTTATTTCCGGGCAAAGTAATTAGAGTCGGAAGACGAACTTCACACTTTCAAAGTAAATGGACAACGGGTTAAGCATTACCTGGGCACAACAGGAGACAAGCACTTTATAGAGCAAATTGCTCTCAAGGATTGTCCGACCCCCACTACTGAGTAGCCCAAAAGGGGACCAACATCGTCGTGCCGCGACATTAAATCAAGCGCTTCTTGGTAGGCAACCCATGTGTGGTAAAATTATTTTATAATTTTTTTTTAGTTGTCAGTGATTGAACATGTTGACGTGTGTATTAGAGTGCAGGTAGCCCAATTTACCATGAAACAGAGTGCAAAGAGTAAAGCAAAAAAATGGTGGATTAGGGGCTTTCGGCAACTATGCGGTCGCATAATGACTTTGCGAACCGCATAGTTACTGCAAACACGGTCAGAGAATTTGGGGAACTTGGGTCTGAAAACTGTGGTAAGAGTTCAAGTTACGTGGTCCGCATAGACGTTATGCGATCACAGAATGCATCGCAGAATGGAGGTAAAATAACTCATCTCTAAACTCATCGCATAACACATATGCGACCGCATAATGTGTTATGCGACCACTTGTCCACCACAAAACGTCCAGGTATAAATCCCTAATACTTCACATACTGTGAACCCCACTCGCACACGAACACTTAACAACTCTCACAAAATCAAAAAACACAAAAACAAAAGAAATGAAAGAAAAGCCAAAAACATTTTAATCACGCACACAGATCACATATGAAGGATAGGAATTAAGGAATTTACCTTGCTCATAACTCAGATTTCACCTTCGTCTTGCTCTAATATCTGGTATGTGACTCTTTCACTTTTGTTTTCATTTTTATTTTTATTTATCTTCTTTTTCTTGTGGATTCATTGCATAATTTCCATCATTTGAACTCCATATCTCGTTTTTGTTCTCAAACATGTGCGGTGGGTACCTGAGTGGGCGATTGGTGGTTAAATTTTTGCCTACGAGTGTAGGGAATTGTGTAGGTGGGAGGCTTGACCATTGTTGACCGAAGAAGATGATCTTTGCGGCACGCATAATTTGGTTGCGATCCGCAAAGTCGTGGTAAACAAGACTTTAGAAGACCTAGTGATTTGAACTTATGCGACCACTTAAGAGGTCGCAAAGATGTTTTGCGGACCGCATAGCTACCACAAATACAATCAGTTAAACTACCTTTCGTGTGTGCAAATCTGCGATCCCTTTACGATCGCGAAACTTGTTTTGCAATGGTTGTTGCAATCGCATAATCCCTTAAGATTGCGGTCTGCATAGTAGATATGCGACTGCATAACCCATCGCATAACTTGTTTATCTATGTTATTTTTCCCCAACATTCTTTTTTTTTTGGCTATGCCCACCACTCACACACTATTTTATTGCACGAATGGCACCAAGGAAATCTATTACAACACGATCACCAGCTACTCGTGGGAAGAAAAGTGCTGCTCCGAACCAACAAGCACAACAGTATAAGCATCAACGGCCAGAAACCACCCGCAACACTGCTGAGCACTCCTCCCAGTCTGAAGAAGAGGGGGCACAGACGGACATCCTGCCATCAGTTGACCTACAAGCTGAAGTAAGACGGAAGAGCGAGGAAGATTTGAGGTTTGGGGTCCCATGATCATGGAACCTATACAAAGAGGGGATAAAAAAGAGAAACATTCTCGAGGAGAAGCAGTTAAGCCTGAATGGTATGAAAGAGAACTACCCTAACATAATTGAAAACATTCAGAAGAGGAAATGGGGATTCTTCACGGATGCCCTAGACGACTACA